GAGCTCTCACGTTAAAGCGAGAGTTGACTCCTCCCACACTAAGAAAACAGGAGGGGAGGGGTCAGCGGAGCTCCTGTGTTGCGGAGCAGAGAGACACGAAGTAAACAAACAAGCAGGAAAATGAAACTTATCGGCCCCTTTTTTTTTACCGACCTCAAAAAAAGTTAYCGTGCGATTAATTGATTTATTGACTATCGCGACAGGCCTACACACACACCCCTCCCTCATCATTGCTGATGGGTTCTGACGGTTGCCTTGGCTCCCTCAGGGCTGCAGGAGGCATCGTGGACGCAGGTCCTGCTTACCAGAAGAACCTTTCTCAGGAAGTAACCAAACTGCAGCGGCTCTACGGCGAAGGAGACCTCACCAAGTTCCCCGACATCAAATTCACTGGTCAGTTTCCTGCCTCCAGCCGAACAAAAACCTGGTTTTAAAAGATCAAAACAGAGTTTTAAATCTGAATAAAGATGGAGGAAAAGTGTCTGTTTCTCACTGAAGGACAGACGGTGTAATTTTATTGTTTAGGTCAAAGTTATTTATGAAACCGTTAAAATATGGAAGTTTAGGCCAGGCTTCCTTCATCGTAGGCAGCACTGATTTATGATTCCAATTAAGCAAAGTGCTTTATTTTATCCCCCGAGGGTAAATATTGTGCAGCCAGCAGTTTGTACGCTCTTAGTTTCACACAACAAAAGGCAGTAATGGCCGCAGCGCTGGCGTAACGACGAGCCGCGGTTATTACGACACAAATGCTTTTTTGCTTTGACACAGTTTACAGCTCAGCCTCATGAATATTTCCTCCTCTGCCTCCGAACAGATGTGCTGTCATCCTCGTCTATAAATAGCAACCGTGGTGACAGAGAAAGACAACTCGTGTTTGAATTCACCTCAGGAGGCTTTTTGTTTCTGAGCTTGTCTTTTATTTATTTATTTTTGTGTGTGTTTTTAGATGTTGCTTTTCCAAATGAATTTGGTACAACGTGACTTATTCAACTCAGTAACATCTATGTTTTATTGTTTCTCTGTCTTCTGTCCACAGAGCCGAAGTTTGACGAGGCTCCCAAGTGAAGGATGTTTGTCTCTGACATGTCTCACATATGTTGTATTTAATAAAAAAAACTATTCTCTGGGATTGAACTGATCTTCTGCTAGTCTTTGATGACTCTGAAGGTTTTAAATCTGAATCTTAAATGAAACATTTGTCATGTAGTGGAAATGTTTGAATAAGTTTAATCTATAGTGCACATGGAAATATTCACACAATCTAAGAGTAGTAAGGCAAATCATTTTTAAAAGGTGTTTCTGGGGAAAGAGGATAAAGAACATCTTATCTGTTGTAGATAGGTAATCTGTTGACTCTTTGAAGAAGCAGCTGAAGACATCTTTATTCAGACAATCTTATAGTTAACTTCTCTTTTATCTCTTATTATTTTGAGATCTGTTTTCAGATATAAAGTGCATTACAAATATAATCTATTATTATTATTATTATTATTATTATTATTATTATTATTATTATTATTATTAAGTATTTACTGAATTTATTCATAATACTAGAAATTTAACCCTAAAAATCATCCATAAAGTGGGAGGGTATACACGGGTTATTGATGATTAGATTTTTTATGTCTTTTAAGCTCAAATGATGATCGTATTATACATGAATAAAAACGGTAAATTAAATCAGATTTTCATGAGGAACAAAATGATAAATGCTGCCTAACCCTCTGAAATTATTGACTTCTCCAGATTTTCTATTCAACTTAAACCTGTTCTGTTTTAATTTAGGAATTACCATATATTGTTGTAAAGCAATGCTAGTATTTTACATTTTATTAGTCTAAATCAGAGGTTCTCAAACTGGGGTGCACAAGCTGTATCTTGGGTTTCCTCAAAATTTCAATAGTTTGTTTAAAAAAATTCACATAGGGAACATTTCACTAGTTAAACAAACGTACTAAACAAAAAAAATACTTCCATAGCATTAAGGGTTAAATTATTTTTAAAGGGATCCTTGATTAGTTGTAACATTAGACTTTATTTAATAAACATATACTTTAACTGTAAAATAAAGACAAAATACTGTAGGATGTTTAGTTTTTATAATTTTTAAACTAAAAGTTTAAAAATATATTACACGGACAGGACCATTTTTTTACACACAAAGCATTCTGGGTAAATGATGATGTGGATAGGTCCTCGGTGCGAGGCTGCTAGCGAGCTATATCCACCCTGAAGGTTAATCTTGGRCAATATCTGATGATCGACTCTTAAATGAAACCAGAGAGCGTTGACAGAGAGGGGAACACAAAAATGACTCAGCCTGTAACTGAAAATATGGATGGAGGACCTCAGTTTAGCTTGTTTTTCGTGCTAGCACCGAGCTAATATAAGGCAATATAGCGCGAAGGCTAACAGGCTAAGCTGAGGTTCTTCTTCCATGAAGCAGCTCTGTTCTCCTCCATCCATATTTTCAGTTCCAGGCTGAGTCATTTCTACCTTCTCCTCTCTGTCAACGCTCTCTGGTTTCATTTAAAAGAGTCGATCATCAGATATTGTCCAAGATTAACCTTCAGGGTGGATATAGCTCGCTAGCACCTAGTGCCGATGACCTAGTTGATGTCATCATTTACCCAGAATGCTTTGCGTGTAAATAAAATGGCTCCGTCCGTGTTAAAATATATTTTAAAAAAATTACAGTACTAAACAGCCTACAGTATTTTTAGTCTTTATTTTACAGTTAAAATAGAAGTTTATCAAATTAAGTTTAATGTTACCACTAATCGTGGATCCCTTTAAAACAGCATATGGTTTATGAGGGGGTCCCTCAAAATGTTTCACACTAATAAGGGGTCCCCACTCCCCAGACCCAAATACTTGAGAAGCCCTGATCTAAACGAACACTATTTTCTAACCTTTTAAGTTTCTGTCAGTTTCACGTGGTGAAAAGCAGCAGCAGCTAGCTGTAGCATCTGGAACTCTAATGTCAAACTTGTGGTGGTGGAAAGGTTTATAAAAGATCATTTTAGCTGCTTTATGAGATTTGAATTGTTTTAAGTAAATCCACTTTGGTCTTAGCTGCTCAGAATTAAATTATTTCTGTAAATGAAATGAATTGGAGCTGTCCATGTCAGGTAACATTTAACTGCTCACACTCGTCCACAGAATCTCCCTTCAAAATAGCTGGTTTGGTTTAATGGTTGTTTTATTTCTGCAGCATGTAATAAACCAGTTGTAGCTCTGTATTGACTCCGAGGAGGAAAAAATGCTTAGAAATGAATTCTTCATTTTATTTCTTTTTTTTAATCTGGAACTCGAGTTGCAGTGAGCCAAATGTTGACTGACCTGGATAGAAACGGTCTGTCACACTGAATTAGTCTTGAAAGCTCCACAATATGACGAGGTCACAGACTCGACTCGGGATGAATCTTAAAACTCAAAAATAGCATCGGAAAGAATCTGTAATCTGACCTGATGCTTAATGTTTTTACGATTATGGGCTTTAAACTCAACAACGGTTATGACTGGAGCAGATAAGAGTAAAATATGTGACGATGTGGTGAAATCCCTGTTTTTATTGCAGACAACATTTAAAGACCTGTGATGCTACACACCTGTGTGGTAGAGGAAGGGTCAGGTCTGTGCTCACAAACAGCTTGTGAAAAATTTGTACAACATAAAAGACGCCTTACCTGAGGATGGAATGAAAATTAAATCAATTAGAAGACTTGTTAATGATTAGATCTATCTATGGATATATGAGTAATTATGAAATGTGTTCATAATTCAGCACAAGTTGTCTTAAACGTTATGATGTGACAGCCGGGCCTTTAGCCTCTACGTGTCAGTATTTACCACTGCATGTTAAAACTACATTCTTTTATTTACAACTTATCAGGACATAAATGACAAAATCTCAAAATGCAGTCAGTAAAATCTGCGATGGTTTAAAACGTTCAGTTGACCTATAAAAGTAGAGTGTTTCTCGATTCACTAAGTCTCTTATATTGTGGAGTAAATGGTCTGCACGTCTGTCCAGTCCCTGTGGACTCCAAAGTGCTTCACACTACTGTCATTCTCACACTGATGGTAGCTCACCACCATCAGTGTGAGGGTGGTGAGCTACAGTGTAGCCACAGAGGTGAGGCTGCCGTACCCCGGCACCACCAGCAAGGCAAGGCAGGGGAAGTGTCTGGTCCAAGACTGAGAGAGAGAGGAGTCTGAACCGGCAACCCTCCTGTTACAGGACAAACCTCTAGTCACTCTGCCACAGCTGTAGTTTACACAATCGTTAAGTCGATATTGATGTGGGCGTGTGACGGCCCAGTGGGTAAATCGGTAGTGTTGTGAAACACTCGCCATCCTTCGCCATAAATGAGGTGAAGTTGAGGTCGCTGGTCAGAGCCTGTTTGGTCCGGCTCCATCTGGTTGTCAGCCAAATGTCGCTCTCTGAGCTACAGTCTGCTGACGTCCCGTCTTTGGCTCTTAATTTCCTCAGTTTTATGGTTGGCATAGTTGCCGTAAAACAAGTCCAAACCATCAACCTTCCACCACCGTGCTTTAGTCATCTAAGTCTTTGTTGACGAGCTTTACGTAATTCTGACTTAAACTATTCATAAGTTTCATTAAGCAGGGTTGAGTTACCATCCAGTGCAGCTTCAGTTTAGTTAATCCTGGATAGTTTTTTTAAAACGTCCAATTTTAAGTAAAATACTATAACTATTAGAAATATAGTGACTGATAGTAACTGCTAAAGTTCCATATGAAGACTAACAAATAGTTCACTATATAGTTCAGATAATTCAAATAATCCAGGATTCTTCAATCAAGCTTAACTTATTTTATCCTGGAAATGGCTAATAATTACAATCTTCATCCATAAAACAGTCAAATGAAGTTTCTTTTTAAAAAATAATTACAGAAAGATGTTTTTACAAACAAACTGGATAGAAAAACCTTTTTATTACTGATACACAGTTCAAATAAAACTCTGAACAAATCATCCACACAGTCCAGAAAACAAACACTTCATTGAATAAAACAGTGGCACGAGAATATATAAAGACAGAAAAAGTAAGGCAAGTTCTTTACAAAAAATAAGTGATCCAGAGATAAATGAGAAATTAAAAAGGCACGAGGTATACTGTAGATACATGTATATGTTTGAAGAAAAAAAAAGAAACAAAACCATGCAGGCACATCAGGGTGGAAGGGGGTTGGTCTCAGAATTTGAGTGAATTTTTTGTTACTAAGAAAACGAGTTTTAGGGCCTGAGACAGACGAAATACTTGGTTGAGGTAAATCGCGTTTAATGTTTTCTTTATGGCTTCTCATAAATTCTCCTTCAAATAAATGTAACAGAAAAGGTCACTAACGTGAGTCTTTGGTAAAAAAAAATAAATAAATCAAATCCTTGAAGCAGTTGGCCTTCAGAAATAAGAAAACGAAATGATGCTCAAACCTTTTTACAGACCAGTTCATGGTCTGACCAGCAGGGGGCAGCAGAGGGCCGTGAAACCAGCTCAATCTCATCAAAAGAAACCAGAAAACCAGAGGGAAGAAGCCTGGCAGCTTTGCTTCACATAATCAAAAAATGAGCGAAGGGAAGGAAGGAGATTAAGATTTGCTTATATTGGAAGATCAAAAGCTCAATCTTGAGTCCAGAGAGGCAGAAAAACTGGATCCAGTGTTGGCACCTCATTACAGGAAGTGATTCATTGTCGCAGAAAAGGCCAGCTTCTCAGAGCATGAATGATTGTGTGTGTTTGAAATCCTGTGGCTGAAAGAAACAGGAAAAACAAAAAAATAAAATAAAATAAACAGTTTTTCTGGTGCGTGTAGATTCTGGTGAGTATAAACGTTCACAGATTAWAAAACAAACACTTTACCTCTTGAGGTGGTGGGACGTAGTTGACGTTGGACCTGAAAGATAAAACTGAGGTGAGTACAAAGCTGTGCACCGAGAGAACGACGACAAACACAACRGACCTCAGGGGACACTGCAGGACCTGGTTCAGAACAGAGTACTCTCTAGAGGTGGACAATCCTGGTCATCCAGGTCCTCTATCCTGTAYATTTCAGAGGTTCCTCTGCTCCAACACACCTGCTTTGAATAATTAGGTGATTAACAGGCTTCTGCAGAACTTGAAGAGGTAATTCACTGAATCAGATGTGTTAAAGCAGTGAAACCAGTTAAACACRCAGGATAGAGGACCAGGGTTGGACACCCCTGGACCAGGCTGCTCTTTGAACGACTTCAGTTTGGAACAAGTTTTCATTCGGGTCATACTGACGAGCTGACGGCTAGTCGGAGTGTTCACTGCAGTCTTACCAGAAATGTTATTTGCTTTTTGTGCCTTTTTTTAAAAAGGATAGTTCGGTCACATGTGAGCCCTTACAAAAAACTGAGGATTACGTCTCCAGGTAGTGCAGTGAGATTTAGGCTGATGTAGTGCACTGGTTGWTTAATTTACAATAATTAGATTTAATCAAAATATAATAAATAAATAACTCATCTATGGGTCCTGTGATGCAAATGTCTGAATTATAATCCGAAATGTTTTGTAGATGTAGGAACAATTAACGATTTTGGGCAGAAGAGTGCTACACTTAGGYGAATAAACAACCCTCTGCACATCTGCATGACAGGTTTTTGTTAGTCCCTGGTTTCTAAACACTGACTGTCAGTGACCTGAGGTGGTTGGATGTTTTGGTTCACTGTAAACTTCTACACTGTCAGGTGGAAGGTGATATTATGACGGTGTATTAGGGCTATTTTGCAGATGAAAAATAAAGAGCAAATCTCCGCCAAAAAACTCAAAATTTTGAGATTAATTTTGTAAATTTTATTAAGTAGAAAACGTAAATGTATGAGAAAAAACTCAAATTTTCATAATTAAAGACAAATATTTTCTGCATTTAAACTAAATATGAACATTTTCTGACATTATAAAGTCAGACATTTACAAGAC